GCTACTCTTGCTTTTTAAAATTTCTCTCCTACTTCGTAATATACTCAAGCACCCAGCTTGTCTTCGTTTTTTGTTTTTTTAAACATTTTTATTTATTCATTCATGAAAGACACAGAGAGAGAGAGGGAGAAACACAAGTAGAGAGAGAAGCAGGCTCCATGTAGGGAGCCTGATGTGGGACTCGATCCAGGGACTCCAGGATCACGCCCTGGACTGAAGGCAGATGCTCAACCGCTGAGCCACTCAGGTATCCCACCTTTTTCTTTTTCTAAAAAAAGATTTTATTTACTTATTTATTTATTTACTTATTTATTTATTTGAGAGAGAGAGAGAGAAAGAGAGAGAGAGAACGTGTGTAAGTCGGGGGAGGAGAAGAGGAGGGAGAGAGAGGAGGAAAGAATCTCGAGCAGACTCTGCATGGAGCCTGATGTGGGGCTCAATGCTGGGCTTGATCTCACAACCCTGAAATCACGACCCAAACCGAAACCAAGAGTCTCACACTTAACCGACTGAGGCACCCAGGTACCTCATCTTTTTCTTACTCAACAATAATATTTATAATGATAAAAATAGCAGGTACTTATTAAGCACTTACTAGGCATGTAGCTAGCATTATATACTTGGTATTCTCTCTCAAGTCATCTCAACAATCTTGTACTATCCCATTTTATAGAAGGGAAGATAAAAGAGGTTGAGTAATTTGCCCCAGGGTATATAAAGATAATTAAATCTGACTCAAGAGGTTCTATTATGCAATTCTGTCTCCCTAAAACAGTGACTCATTGCCTCAAATACTAAGTTATTTTTCAATGTATTATGTTGTTCTTTCTATCACCATCAATGAATTAGATATCATTTCAGGGCCCAATATTAAATAATGATCTTATTTCCTTAGTTTATTGAGCACAGGGCAAAGACAGAAAAAATTCCCATATGACAAGTTTTTTATTTGTATCAAATCACAGAGTATCATAGGTAAATATAAGATTATAATTTGAATATCATAACATAATTTGGCAAACTATTTAATTATCCAAAGTTTATTACATGTTTGAGTATGTGCTAAAGAGATTATTTGGCATAACTTGGCAAGATATATATTTCCGTACCTTATTTGACCATTTATTATTTATATATGTGGTACACATATATGTATGTATACATATACACACATACATATATACATACACACAATCCTAAATTAAATATACTTGTATAAAAAGCTAAAGATCGATGTGTTAGCATTAATTCCTGTTTAAAAATCTATTATATTAAATTGCATCTGCATTCAAAGCAGAAATGTAAAAAAACTGATCAATTTGCTAAATACACATGAATTTACAAAGTAATTGAAAATGAAATAAAAATTTCCATTGAAATGCTGTATTCCTGTTTAATCAACATTTAAGTAGCACTATCAAACCACGGAAATAGACATTATTTTTTTAGGTTGTTGAGAGAATAAAGATTCTACTGAGCATTACTATACTCCCTAAATTAAGAATGAATATTATTATAGTAGGAAAAGATGGCAGATAATTTTCTTCTTTATTAATATGGGAATTCTCAGGAAGCAATCAGAGCACTGTCTGTACTCCTGGGCTTGGGTTTCCTGCTTTTCTGTCAGTGGAAGTCTGGCTTCTCAGGAAAAGTACAGCCAGTCCGCCTAATTATGACGCTTGCTGCATAGTGACCAGCACGGATGCATTCAGTGAGGGGCTTGTCAGAGACCAGTTGAGACAGAAAACCTGAAACACAGACAAAAGGGAAGAACATGAATATTGCGTAACGGCATCAGAAATATCATACTGAGTCAGGCCAAAAAAAGGTCTATGTACCTATCCCTTTCTTCAGTGTTGATATTAAATGTTAAACCTCAAGTGTTAGAGAGTTCTTCCTCCAAACATCATGAGCTTCCCCAATATATATTTTTAAAGATTTTATTCGTTTATTTATGAAAGACGCACACAGAGAGAGGCAGAGACATAGGCAGAGGGAGAAGCAGGCTACCCACGGTAAGCCTCATGCAGGACTCGATCCTAGGACCCCGGGATCACAACCTGAGCCAAAGGGAGACGCTCAACCACCGAGCCACCCAGGCGTCCCATTCCCTCAATATTTCTTTTAAGAGCTCAAGTTGGGACAGGACCACTCACCATCAGTCATTCTAATCTTTGTACACCTAAAACATCACCACACTTTCCTTCAGTTTTGAGATAAAGAGGTTCTGAGTAGGAAGTACTGGCCAAATAATATTACCTTGGGTCTTTACAGTTGAGACAGTAAATCCATCTCTCTGGATTCCTTATGTGCTGTTATTCCTAGCATATTGCTTTTGGACAAAATTCTATCATCTGGATGTCTCTCCAAGTACAGATTTAAGAACTGAAGAGTTACAAAGGATCTTACATCTCCCTTTTACTCCCAGAAGCAACAGTGAAATGATTTCTATAGTCAAACACCATGGACCAACTTGACATTAAAATAAGTGTGATAAAGCAGAAAATAGTGTTGAGGACTTCTATTTTTGACCAAGAGGAAATAAAAAGAGCCACATTTACCCTTTCTCCAGAAACAACTAAAATAAGGACAAAATATATGAAACAAAGATTTTCAAATACTGTAAAAGATCCATGAAAGAAGGAAAATAAACAGGATAAACTGTAAAACTGATGTACTTTTCCCCTTAGAGAGTTACCAGGCTACAACACAAGGAGCAACAACCTAGGCAGAGCTCGACAGTCTCACTGAGTTGAAAAGGTGGATTTGGGAGTCTAAGTAGAACAAAATTAAACATGTAGGCAGAATGATCAGTAAAAAAAGAGACAAGACATAAATTACCAGTATTAGGAATAAGAGAGGTGATGTCACTATAGAATCTATATACACTAAAAGAATAATAAAGAAACACTAACAACTTAATGCCAATAGATTTGCCAAGTTAGACGAATTGGACAAATTCCTGGAAAGACACAAACTATCAAAGCTAAAGCTCAGAAAGAAACAGATAGCCTGATTAGCCTGGTATCTATTTTTTTTTATAAAGATTTTTATTTATTTATTCATAGAGACACAGCTAGAGAGAGAGAGGCAGAGACACAGGCAGGGGGAGAAGCAGGCACCATGCAGGGAGCCCGATGCGGGACTCGATCCCGGGTCTCCAGGATCATGCTCCGGGCTCCAGGCGGCGCTAAACCACTGTGCCACCGGGGATGCCCGCCTGGTATCTATTAAATATATTGATTCTATACTTAAAAAGCTTCCCATAAAGACAATTCCAGGTCCAGATGGTGTCACTGGTGACTTCTACCAAATATTTATGGAATAAAAATAATATCAATATCATTTTTTTGTAGTTTTATGGTTTTATTAACACAAATATGACACACACATAAGCTGTTTATTCATTTTCTTCGCTACGCAGCCTGGCATTGGGATTGGTGACTCTGATGGCCAGCTAGGCTGCTCTTTCCACAATGGCTTTGCGGTTCTTGGAGGATACATTGTGAGCAATCTCTGCACAATAAGATTTGTTGCACATCAGCAGCACTTCAAGCTCCTTGACATTGTGGACTAGGAACTTCCGGAAGCCACTGGGCAGCATGTGCTTTGTTTTCTTGTTGCTCCCGTAACCAATGTTGGGCATCAAGATTTGGCCCTTGAATACAGTAACCTCTTCAGAAAACTGAAAACTGAAAATACTTCCCAAATTATTCCTTGAGGCCAGTATTACTCTGATACAAAAAAATGCAAATATTTTAAAGAAAATTTTAGCAAGTCAAATCCAATAGTATATTAAAAGAGATAAAAAAGAGAGATAATAAATTATTATCAAGTAGGGTTTATTCTAGGAATGCAAGGTTGGCTTAACATCTGAAAATTGGGATCCCTGGGTGGCGCAGCGGTTTGGTGCCTGCCTTTGGCCCAGGGCGCGATCCTGGAGACCCGGGATCGAATCCCACGTCGGGCTCCCGGTGCACGGAGCCTGCTTCTCCCTCTGCCTGTGTCTCTACCTCTCTCTCTCTCTCTCTCTCTCTCTCTCTCTCTCTCTCTCTGTGACTATCAAAAATAAATAAAAAAAATTTAAAAAAAAATCTGAAAATTAATCCGTGTAATTTACTATAAATAACAAAACCATAAGATCACTTAATATAAAGAAAATGCATTTGGCAAAATTCAACATACATTTCTTTCTTTCTTTTTTTTTTTTTTTTAAAGATTGTATTTATTTATTCATGAGAGACAGACAGAGAGAGAGAGGCAGAGACATAGGCAGAGAGAGGCAGACTCCATGCAGGGAGCCCGATGTGGGACTTGATCCCAGGTCTCCAGGATCTCGCCCTGGGCCTGAAGGTGGCGCTAAACCACTGAGCCACCCAGGCTGCCCTCAACATACATTTCTAATGACAATTTTCAGCAACCTAGAATAGAAAGGAACTTCCTCAACCTGATAAAGGGCATTAAGGGAGGGACACCTGGGTGGCTCAGTGATTGAGCTTCTGCCTTTGGCTCAGGGTGTGATCCTGGAATCTCCGGATCGAGTCCCACATCAGGCTCCCTGCGTAGAGCCTGCTTCTCCCTCTGCCTGTGTCTCTGCCTCTCTCTCTCTGTGTCTTTCATGAATGAATAAATAAAAATGTTTTTTAAAAAAAAGGGCACTAAGGGAAAAAACTTGACAGCTAAAACGGTGTATAATGTGGGATGCCTGGGTGGCTCAGTGGTTGAGCGCCTGCCTTTGGCTTAGGCGTGATCCTGGGGTCCTGGGATTGAGTCCCACATTGGTCTTCCTGAATGGAGCCTGCTTCTCTCTCTACCTATATCTCTCCCTCTCTCTCGCTGTGTCTCTCATGAATAAATAAACTTTTAAAAAATGATGGATGATGTAATGTTTTCCCCTTAAGATCAAGAACAAGAGAAAAAATGTTTGTTCTTAAAATTGTGTACTGGACACTTTAGCCAGTGCAATAAGGCAAACAAAATAAATAAATAAAAAGTATCAATTGCTCACTTTGGTAGCACATATACTAAAAATTGGAATAATATAGAGAAGATTAGCATGGCCCTTGCACAAGGATGACAAATTTGTGAAGTGCCTCATATTTTAAAGAAGGGCATCAAGATGGAGAAAGAGGTAAAGCTGTCTTTATTTGCAGATGGCATGATTGTCTATAGTTTTCAATAGCTCCCCCACCACCCCAAGACATCTGGCAATGTCTGGTAATTTTTGGTGTTCACAACTGGGGCAGAAGGTGCTACTGGCATCTAGTGAGTAGAGTGATGGATGCTGCTAAATATCTTACAATGCCTATGATCTGAGATTGAGAAATTACTGGTCTTTAGAGAATATCCTACAGATTCTAGAAAAAAGTTACTAGAACAAGGACGTGATTTTAGTGAAGTTGCAGGATACAAAAATCAACTGAATTTCCATACTATATATACATCATGCTGTGTGTGTATATAGTAACTGTATATACTAGCAACAGTTAGAAATTGATATTAAAAATATCTTTTACCACACTGTCAAATATGTGTAATACTTGATAAAAGTATTAGACCTGCACACTGATGATGACAAAACAATGCTGAAAAAAGTAAAAGAAACCTACAAAAATGGAGAGATATCAAGTGTTCACAGATCAGAAGATTCAATATCGTTAATAGCTCTAAGAAAATTTTCAATGGATTTAATGTAATACCAATCAAGTCCCAGCAGGGTTTTCTTATAGAAACTGACAAGCTGATTCTAATATTTATGTGTAAATGCAAAAGACTAAGATTAGTCAAATACACCTTTGAAAAACAAGACTACCTGAGTTAAAACTTATTGTAGGGCAGTCGGGGTGGCTCAGTGGTTTAGCACCACCTTCAGCCCAGGGAGTGATCCTGGAGACACAGGATCGAGTCCCACGTCAGGCTCCCTGCATGAAGCCTGCTTCTCCCTCTGCCTGTGTCTCTGCTCCACCCTCCCCCCATCTCTCATGATAAATAAATAAATAAATCTTAAAAAAAAACTTATTGCAGAACTAAAATAATCAAGACACTATGCTATTGGCATAAAGAGAGCCCAGAAATAAACCTATCGTCAATTAATTTTTGACAAAAGTATAAAAATAATCCAGTGGAGAAAAGATAATCTTTCAAACAAATGGTATTAGAACAAATGGCATATTTGAAAAAGCAAACAAACGACTTCAACCCTTACCTCATATCACCTACAAAAATTTACTTGAAATGGATCTAGACTTAAATGTAAGAGCTAAAACTATAAAATTCTGAGAAGAAAACAGAAAATCTTAATGATTTTGAATTTGCCAAAAATCTTTTAAGACATAAAAAGTACAAGCTTTTCTAAAGAAAAAAAAATAACTGGACTCTGCCAAATTAAATACATCTACACTTCAATAACAAGAAACAACCCATTTAAAAATGGGTTCAAAAGTGCTGAAACTAATATTTTAGCAAAAAAGGTAAACAAATGCCAAATAAACTCATGAAAAGATGTTCAACACCATTAGTCATTAGGAAATGTAAATTTAAATCACAATCAGATACTACTGTCAACCCATTAGAATGGCTAAAATTAAGAAGACTAACCAATACAAGTGTTGACAAGGGTGTGGGTCATTTGGAACTCTCATCTGATAGTGGGAACATAAAATGATAATACCACTTTGAAAACTGTATGTCAGTGTCTTAAAAACATAGATTTACCATATAATTCAGTTATTCTAGTTCTAGGCATTTAACTCAAAGTAAATGAAAGCATACATTCACCCCAAAGATTTGTAGTGAATGTTCACAGCAGCTTTATTTGTAACAGCCCCAAACCGGAAATGATCCAAATGTGGAAAAGAGGCAGGAAGGCAGGATTGCAAAATAGCATCGGAGTAGTGGATATGTCTACCGTGCTGGTTTCATGGATGTATGACTATGTTAACAATGGTAAAATTGTACACTTTAAATATGTGCAGTTCATTGTATATCAATTATAGTACAATAAAACTGTAAAAGGAGAAAAAGGGGAAAAAGTGTTGTAGTTACAAATAAGACAGGTCAAGGACAGAAGAATCTGGGGCTACTTTCCCTCGAAGGGAAACGTGAACTGCTTAGCAGTACGCACATACTCAGAAGAACAGATAATGAGAAACTGTTCTGTAGCCAGACTTCCCTGGCCCTGGCAGCCTGATGGGGGTGAAGATTAATTGAGAAGCTGTGGTATAATGACCTGCAGAGAACATTATAAGAGATTTACGTCTTCTCTTCTCTACCATTCTGACCACACAAGCTTTTTCCCTGTCAAATTTGGGGAATGCTCTGTATCTAGTAAAATAAGTATTCCCAACCAAAGAATAAAATTAATTTGGTTAATGGAGTGATATATTTTGAAGACATTTGCTTAGAATGTGAAATCACTCCCTCAAGAGGTTTAGTAAGAGCATTTTATCATTGAGTTTTCAGGTAACAGTCAAAGGTCAATATTAACTTTCAGCCAAACTGTGAGACTAAAAATGCTCAGCCCACACAGTGAATGGAGCAGACGCCAAATTCAGACTCAGATCAACTTACAATGGAAACACATCTATGAGGAGCCTTATAAGCAACATCTGTTTTCCTCATTCCTTCTGGTATGATCTTTGTGAGAAAAAGAAAAGCTTATGTTTATGAAATATTTTTGTGAAGCATAAGTACCAGCATCCTCTTTCTAAGAGAAGAGCTAGCTGATGACTGAAGTGAAGTACTCTGAAGAGACATTTGCTTTGACAAGTGGCAAGCCTGAATGCAGAAAAAAGCTAAGACCTTTGCCCCAGGTGAATAATAATTTTTAATAATCTATTTTGAAAAACCAACCAAGACAAACTATAGATGTAATATAATCAATTGTAAGTGGAACCTTCATAAAGAAGCTGATGGGAATCTTAAAAGTTGTGTAAAAGTGGTTTAAACAAAGGGAGGTTATATTTTAAGAATCATAAAGAATCCCATGATAACATGAATAAACATTCTAAGGTTAATTCTTTATTGTGTAAAAAATATATAACCTAATTTACCATTTTAACCATTTTTAAGTGAACAATTTATAGCATTAAGATCATTTTACAAAGTTGTGTAATTATCGCTTCTATCGATTTCCAGAACTTTTTCATCACTTCAACAGAAACTCTATATTCTTTAAACAATACCTTTCTATTCCTCTACACTTCTGGCCCCTGGCAACTGCTACTCTATTTCCTGTCTCTATGAATTTGCCTGTTCTAGGTACCTCATGTAAGGAGGATCATACAATATTTGTCCTTTTGTGTCTGGCTTATTTGACTTACTGGAAATGTTTCCCAAAACAATTTTTTTAAGTTAGAATTTTTAATTATTAACTGACCTAAAGTGTATTTTAAATAAAACCCTTTATTTGGAAATAATTTCAAATTTATAGAAAAGTCACAAGAATTAAAATAATGTGAAAAATACCCATATATCCTTTACCCAGATGCACTTACTGTTAACATTTTGCTCCTTTAGTGCACATATACTCTCTCTTTATACAGGTTTTGCCCTGAACTATTTGAGAGCAAGTTGCATGTATCATTCCTCTTTACTTCTAAATACAATGTTTCTTTCCTGAGAATAAGGCTATTCTCCTACATAATCACAGTTAACTTTATTTTTTTTAAATTTTTTATTTTATTTTATTTATTTATGATAGGCACACACAGTGAGAGAGAGAGAGGCAGAGACATAGGCAGAGGGAGAAGCAGGCTCCATGCACCGGGAGCCCGACGTGGGATTCGATCCTGGGTCTCCAGGATTGCGCCCTGGGCCAAAGGCAGGCGCTAAACCGCTGTGCCACTCAGGGATCCCAGTTATTAACTTTAGTAACACTGTTAGAATACTGTTGTCTAATCTTACTCCCATATCCCAGTTTTATCAATGTTCGTTATAGCACTTTTTCCCCCTTCTAAGATAGAATGTAATGTAGGATTTGTTATGTTTTTGGTCTTTTATTAATATTGAGCATTTCCTCGGACTTTCTTTGACTTTTGTGACAGGGACATTTTTGAAGCATATAGTCTTTCCCTACTTCCTATTTAACAGAGTGATTCTAATTTTGGGTTTGTCTATTTCCTCGTGATTTAAAAAAAATACAGTTTATTTATTTATTTTATTCATGAGAGACACAGAGAGAGGCAGACACAAAGGCAGAGGGAAAGCAGGCTCCACACGGGGAGCCTGATGTGGGACTCGATCTCAGGATCCCGGGATCATGACCTGAGCTGAAGGCAGATGCCCAACCACTGAGCCACCCAGGTGTCCTGATCTTCCTCTATTTTTAAAAGGTATTTGCATTTTGGGGATATTATTCTAATAAAGTATTTTTTAGGTATGTATTTAATATATAGAAATGCTATGTCAGCATGGAAACAAAGTGATTATTCACAGCTTAGTCAATGAATGTGGTGAATTTTAAAGAGTGTGGTTAGCACACACTACAGCAGATAAGTATGGCTTACAGATACATATCAAAAAAGTTTGCTTTCTTTTAGTAAAGATTGTGGGTCTATCAGGAGTTCAACAAGAAAAATCTTAAATGACTGACTTGGCATATGTGTTCTACATGAAAAAGTTCCCTAGGAACCCTCTTTTGTTGATGGTTCTTTTCCTGTTCTTATGGTCCTCATCAATACATTATGTTGAAATCGAAGGATAACATTCTGCATATATGCCTTTCAACATAGTCAAGAGAACGGAAACAGGAGGTATAACACTGGAGAACAAGAAACATCAACATAGGTTTCCAGTCAGGAACTCATATGCTGAGCCAGTTGTTGCCTTTCTACTTTGGTTCTTTTTCTGTGGGATCTGTGTAACTCCTTTCTAATCCTTCTGCTGATAGGCTTATCCCACAGCTCCTCTGACTTTTCTGAAATTTAGGTCATGTCATGGACCTTAGGTCTCAAGCTGTTGAGGCAGATGGTGGGTTAAGGCTTCTCACTGACAATGAATTTGGTTCCTAGGGCTAGTACTGGCTGGCTCTGAATCTTGAAACAATCACAGATCCAGAACTATCAGAATGAACCTCTGTCCCTGAGCAATTAGTATAGCTTATTA